ACTGCTCCAAATAAATTAGACTCATTTTTTTTTTGTTCAAATTCCCAACGCCAGACCGCAAGAGAGAGTGAGAGGAAGAGCTCGCAAATGAGTTGGTGATTTAGCTCACTTAATTTATTGCACATCTTTATTTAGGGGAAACAACAGTTTAGCGTCGGAAAGTGGCGTACGTTGAATAAAAAGAGAAATAAACCGAAATTATTTAATCTCGAGAATGAATAGTTGATAAATTCTTCTAATAAAAATTAGTTTTTGAGGACATGGTATTACACTTAATTGATATGTTGTGTGTATTGGAAATATAATTGTAGTTAATTTTATGAAAAAGTTTTGAAGAACCTTAATTCCAAACTGAAAAAAATTTGCAGTTCCAGCACACACAAAAATTAACTCAAAAAAAAATGAAAACTTTTTTATTTTTAATTTGCAGCACAAATACAAATAAAAATAGACATAATTATTGAAACAAAAAATTATGCAGTAAATCCTTAACACCAAAAGATATCAAAATCTGACCTTCCCCTTCCCCTACCCCAACCAAATCCACATCCTTTCTTAATCTTTTTTCTCACTTTTAGTTTTCAGCTTTGTTTGTCATCATCGCGTGGACCAAAATTAAGGATATGCCAGCAAAAAATGATGATTTTTTAAATAAAGTTGAACCCAAAAACAAAACAAAAAATAAAACAAAAAATAATAATAATTTGGGTGGTGCCTTCTGTACCACCAATAAAGGGCACAGGCCGACAAGACTTTGTCTTGGCCTGACCCTAAAAAAAAACGTGGATTTTTTTCTATTTTGCCTGATCTGGCGTGATCCTAAACAACATTTTGTGTATTTGGTTGATGCAGAAATTATATCTGAACTTGATATTTAATTTTATCTCAAGAAAACGGCTTGTAAGTTCTAAATTTACAAATAATTTCCATTGATTTTAGTTCGATAAAGGAATGTTGATTTGAATTTTTAATTTACCGAGGCTCACTGCGGCGGATGGGGTCTTTTTGATCTCGGAAGTTTTAGCAAAATTTTTGCTAGTGGTGATGCCGTTTTGTCCAACAATCTCTTTTTCTAAATAATTGTTTTTCAAAAATTGAATGTAAACAATGTATTTGTAACAATGTGGACAAATAAACAACAATAATAATAACAATTTTACATGAAATTTTAATTATTATTTTTATTGATATTTTAGAAATGATGAAAGCGGTCTAGGTTGCGGTTGGTACAAGAACGTCGTCTACTTTTAGTGCACAATATAGAATTATCATAAAAAATTATTGTTACTACAAAAGGCCGCCGTTAAAATTATAAAAGCCGGCTGTGTCGGCGCCCCAACGGGGAGTTGTGCTAATACAAATAATAATTAGTTGCCGTGTGCAACAATGATAGCGCGGTCCACGAGTTTCAAAGTTTAAGCATCAGCAGCTACCGTATTAATGAGTTGTTAATTATTCACGAACTAATTTAAAATTTCATCCTCTACCCTCTCCCGGAGAGTTATAATTTCAAAAGTCTCTACCCCTTTTACGACAACGCGCGCCGTTACACACAGATATTATCATTTCGCTGCCATTCACCAGAGCGGGTCTCTCTCTCTCTGCTTGCCAAAAGTTGTAACGAAATGTTATTACTGCTGGCGCAACTCTCTCAGGCCCCCGTCATGCTTCATTTTATTAAACAAATCATTTTTGGGCTTTAAATTAGCAGAGCGCAATAAATTTCCACGCTCATCAGTTATTTACAAGCGAGCCAGACGTCAAGTCTCTCTTGCCATTTGACCCCCGGGCGCAAAGGTTTACATCATTTCAACGCAGAACTAAAGCGCATGGCAAGAAAATTACATAATTGTCGAGTAAATTTAAAGTCGGAAATAAAAATAATAGAACATTTATTCGACAAAAAACATTACTTTATCTTGGCAATTATTATTTATTTTTTTTTTTTTGTCTTTTAAAAGCTTCAAAATTATTATATTTTAGACTCTTTGATTTTTTTCCCCGTCGAAAGCAATTTGATATTTAATTTTCAGATATTTCTGTACAAATTAAATTTAATTTATTATTATATCCCATACTGCATGAATTGAATTGTATCTAGCCCAGATGCTCCTTAGTAGGAATTAGTAAACCTATCTTTGCATTCCAATTGTCAGACGCGTGATTTAATTTACTCATTTTACTAATAATTTCATTATTTCTAACTCTTAATTTATTTTAAAGATTTGTTAATAAGGTAAATAATTTTAACTTTTTTAAGATTTTTTGTATCTAAAAGGTTTAATAGTTCATAATTTTACTCAGTTTAATGGATCATTTTGTTTTGGAAGTTTCTGTTTTCCTCAATTTTTTACCAATTTAATATTTTCACAAAAGCTTGATTTTTTCACCTAAATTTTTTGTCCAAGCAACGCTAACATGACCCGCGGCAGTGCTTTGATTAAGAGTTTTAATATTCCATAATTAATTGGATTTTTCACAAAAAGAGCGAGTTCTGCGATTTATAACAGAGTGCCCGGAGCTGCATAATAATGTCCTTATTTATCGGGAAAATGCCTCGTGTTTATTGTTCCTTTCAATCGCAACTCATTTTGAAAAACAGGCCCAAAGACATTTGTTACGACGAACAGTCATGTGATTTGTTCCTGTTTGTCCGAGGGGAAGGAATTAAGTTACATATCAATTGAAGTTGCTGAGAATCTACAAAGTTAATATTTTTTTAGGGTCAGGCCAAGACAGAGTCTTGTCGGCCTATGCCTTTTTTAATTTTTCTTATTTTCTTTTCTTATAAAAAAAGATTGAAATTAATTTTGGTATATTATAAAAATATAAACTCACTTAGTTGCAACAAAGAACTAAAGAACAAATAAAAAGTTTAATATTAAAGAACCGTGATCAAAATTTATAATTATGGATTTTATATTAAATATTTCTGCTCATTTTTCCAATTATTTTTTATGACTTGAGACTTGAGTGGAATAAATAATAATTTATTAAATGCTGTAGATTTTTATTGGCGATAAAATATTAATTTTACTCTCAATTCTAAAAGCAATTGTTTTGCAACTATTTTGAACTTATAGAAGAATAAATAATCCAATAAATTTGAATTAATTTTGATCAAATAAATGGTAAAACGAAAATAAATGGTGAATTGACAGGTACAATAATTATTCCTGCACCTGTCTGGCCGTGAAATGTCGAAAAGGGAAAGCACTCGCTGACGGACATGCAGACAAAGCAAAACAACCCTGTCGGACCCCCCATGTTATATACGTGTGTAACGGCGCTGAGCAAACAGGCCTGATAATTACAATTATGATGAGCTCGCTCCGGCTACATCCATCTCTGCTGCACACAACGCAACGTTTTATTTTTGTTCGCCGCGCGAGAGAGAGAAAGAGAGAGAGCGGCAGCATTTTTCAAGTGCCTTCTATCTGACACATGTCGCAATGCCAACAAAAATATTGTCTGTGCGTACGCAGCACCCCTTTGTGTGTGAGTATCAACCCCTGTGTATATGTACATATCCCCTCATTTATTATACATGGCCCCTCCCCTCCCTACGCCAGTGCATTACGTACTGTGCAGCGCAAGACTGCAGCATTATCAAAAGCTATTATCAAAATACCTTTTATCACTCGGGAAACTTTTCATATACATACGAGAGCCGATTTCAATCGCGGATCCAAAGGGTTGACAGATAAATGTAAACAGAAATCTCTCGCAGCGCTTTATCTTTGCTCGCAGCGGTTTTGCCATGTAAGCACACCTCAATTATTTGGTCAAATGTGTCGCTGATGCTCTCGAGATAGCTTTTTCATCGCTGCTGTGGCTGACAGAGACACTCCAAACAGTCCAAATTGAGCTTGTGATTGTATCGAATGTTTCGGGGTGTAGAGCAAGAAGGTGTGAACTGAATTTTCGCTGTAAATAAACTGATTTTTTTTGCGAGAAAAAACTAAGAAATTCATTGAATATTTAAATTCTCATTAATTCTGGTTTCCTGGAAATTTGAATTCTACAGAAGCAGTGAATTTTATTTAAATTATCAAGGTATTTATTTCATAATAATAATAATAACAATAATGGTAATAATAGTAATAGTAATAATAATAATATTAATAATAATAATAATAATTATAACAACGACAACAACAACAACAACAACAACAACAATAATAATGATAATAATAATAATAACAATAATAATACATTTCTAAATTGATTTTTTTTTGTTTTTTTTAATTGGAAATGTGCAGCAAAAAGTTTATCCATTCATAATAGGCTAGTTGTGTTTTATTTTCCTAAAATTTTTAATTTATATAAACAAGATACATAAATAATTTTAAAAAATTCCGACAAAAAGAGAAAATTTTAATCTAAATAAGAGCATATTTGAAAAATGGAACATTTCCCCTAAAATATGATTGCGTGTTGATGAGTAAAAAAACAGATATTGAATCTTGATATGACAAGCGCCACCTGTCCTTCTCCACAAAGCAAAAAACCAGTTTTTTTCCATCATTGCCGAACAAGCACCCCTCGCCACCCGTCAACTCTACGCGCGCATTCATGCCTGAAAAAGACACTGATTTTGTGACTTTGCCCCTGCTCGGCCCCCATAAAAAGCCACAGTGACGATTTCCGCTGCGTTGCTGTCAAAACAGGCTCGATTTTGAATTTAAAGCCGGCCGGGGCGAACGCGTCGATCACAGCGGAACAAGTTGGGGTCGCAAATCTGCTCCTCTCAAGGAGGAGAGACAACAGCTGGCCCTCATCACGCAGCGCTATTGTCTCATTGTTTAGTCATTGTTGCGATATGGGATTAGAGTGAATAGAGAGACTCGTCCTGGCCTCATTATATGTAGAGACGCTTCTCGTTGAGCAGAAAGTGGAGCGCAGCGTTTGTTTACATATACTTTTTTTAAATAAATAAAAAATGATAATAATAGAAACAATGGAGGATAAAAGAGGTTTAAACGAGTTCAAGGACTTACATTGTGTCTTGGAGACCAACTTCCACATACATCCTCCAAGATGCGGGACTGAAACAGCAGAATCACGCATTTCAGTCATTGCATAATAGAAAAATACATTTGGAGCAACAGCAAATTTTAATTTTCACTCAACGCTAAACACAATTTAAATCAATAATAATAACAAATAAAATTAAAACAAAAAACATTATAAAATTAATAAAATTTCTTCAAAAATACAGCATACCAAACAAATCAAATTAGTTATAAAAAAGTTTAAATTTTTATTTCGTTTCGATTAAAAGATAAAATAAGATCACTAAATTTTATTGATTTATTCAGTTTATTCTCTTTTAAAATAATTAAAAATCTTTTGAAAAGGAGAAAAAGAACATTTTTTGTGATTTATTAATATAATTTTGAGTAAACAATTAAAAAATAAATAAATACATCATACAAATTATAAATTTTATATTGATTAGTTCTAATTTGTATAAACCGACTGTTTATATAATTTGATCTTATATCTGACAATTTACCCTGATGCAAAAAATAAACGCGTTTCCGTCCAGTTTTCTCACAGATATTAAGCTGATTTAGCTGATCGCTCCTTTCCCCTTCATACCAAAGTGAAGCAATATATCGTACACAGTTTTTCTAAACCCACTGCTCGGGGCCAGATTACCCACTTTCGCAGCCGAATTACGCGTGCAGCGATAATGAAATTTGAATTACGTCAACTCTCACACTCGAGCTCCTCACTGGCGGGCAATCATCATAATTGACATGTTACATGCAGAATGATTATGTTTTCCCACTAATTGTTTCGTACTTGGAGCCACGTGTGCGCGACACGTGTCGGCGCGTGTCCTTGTTACTACAACCACTTTAGCTGCTTCCCGCATTGCGCGCACCCACGGCGGTGCGGCGGCCTCGGGGGTGGCAAAGCAATAGCCAAGAATTTCAATTTGATGTTAGCTTTGCCAAATCACTCGGAATAATTGAGATTGTTGGATTGATAACGATATCAGCGGTTTCCTCTGAAACGTTTTCTTGAGAAATAAAAAAAATATGGATTAAACCGTGGAAATCACAAATTATATTAAATTGTTGTTTGTTTGTCAAAATTGTTACATCATATTGTTTACAATCAATTGTTGAAAACAATTCAATTGATAAGAAAGGAATTTTTGGACAAAACGGCACCACCACTAGCAAGAGTTTTGCTAAAACATCCGAGATTAACTTCTTTTGCACTTAAAAAACGCAAAAAATTTACTTTTATTATTAGTAAAATAAAAAAATTATTCAATTTAATCTCTTTTTAACAAATTTCAAGTCCCTTGATGAACAATTTTATTCAGTCTCCACAGTTGTAGATTTTACATTCTACGATTTTAGTATATATCCTATGAAAAAAATGGAGTTCCTTAGGTTTTAATGAATTTAATTTATTTAAAATAATTATTTTTTATACTATTCTTTTGGTCTATAATTAGTTTCCCCTGTTGAAACAGAGGAGCACTTCTTTGCACCATATTCTTCGAAAGACAAACTTCAAAACTTCACTGTCCGTCTCATGTTTGCTCTTCGCATGCATAATTAAACATGTTCCAAAAATACGGAAGTTTCCCTGTCCCGCTCTAATTACTTCACCCCAAATAATCGTGACCGCCGAAAGTTTCTTCCTCGATGCATCCCCGCGCTTCGAGGAAAACGACGACGCCGAAAGCATTCAAATTCCCTTTCTTTGCAAGTCTTTATTTTTCTCGCGCTTAATTCCTCATTAGTTGAGAGTCTTAAAGCAAGTTAAGCTGCTAACTTTTGGCTTTTGCCGAGTTTACAACTGCGCTAATCCTATCGCATTAGCCGGCGCGCGCATCTGCATAAGCCGCAAGAAAGGGCTGCTGCACTGCCATCATCTCCGCCGCCGCACCGGCAACTTAAATTTCTTGTCTCTCGCGCCTGAATAATTAATCAGCTCTTGACACAACTTTAATTAAATACCGCCCCAGCTCTCTTCGTCCGAACTGCAGCGGTAATAGCCGAAAACTTTTAGCCCTTCGACGTTTTACTGCCGAGAGAAGAAATTTTGGTCGACATCAGAGGTAATTGTTTCGTTCGCCGGCCGCGCCGGAGAACGACCCTGGAATGGAAACAAAAACGCTCCGCCCCGAGAGTCGCGTTGCACGTTGCCATTCCACCAATGGGCGCAAAGAAATATCGATCTTGCGAACCGCAGCCACCTAACTGATGTCCCCTGCCGCCTGCCCGAGTCGCAGTTTTTGCAATTAGTGCGACGAAAATCGAGTTCTGGACACCCTAAACCTCTAAATTGATAGAATTAAAAATAAACCAGGAAAAAACAAAGCAAAATATTTTCCAAATAACTTAAAATCTCTCCTAATTATGAGATGAATTTAAAAAAACTCAACCATCTGAATATTAAATAGAAAAATCTGCAGAACTCAATTTTTAGAGGGAATTCATATAGAAATAATTAACTTAAACGTGCCAATTCATACTCTCAATTCTCAATTAGTATAATTTAGATTATAATTTAGACTTCAATTTGAAAAATTAATGAAACACCAAATTACCATAATAATAAATTTATCAATTTCAAATTATTTGACAGTTTTCAGCAAATCGAGGATTCGCACTCATCAATCCATTTTCATCCCTCGCTCACAGCCCCTCCAGATAGCCAACTGGTCTCTCAAACTAAGGATTAATTATTCATGGGCTCACCGAGAGGTACAGAGGGGGCTAATCTTTTTAAAATGGCGCAAACTTTGTCGTGTGTGTAGTGAATAATGTTGGTGAATAAAATATCAGAGTGAAATGTTAATGCAATCTCTCACTGCTCTCGAGAATAAATTATTTATAAGGCCGGTTAGGTTTTTTAAAAATATGCATGAGCACCGACCACTGCCTGTCACCGCATGAGCTCCCATCTCCTTTTATAAAATTCCTTGCAAAATTAAATCGACTAAATTTCATTTATCTTTAAAAACTGTTGCAAAATCTCTGTATAATTCTATGATTAATTGAATATATAGCAATATTGAGAGAATAATCACCAAAGTATTAAACAAAATTTAATAGTAATTAATAAAATTATATATGTTCGATTAGATGAGAGTTTTAACCATGACAACACAATCAAAAGTTAAAATTAAGTAGATATCTTAATAGAGCTGCTGAATTATATGAACAGAATTGCAATATCATCTCTAGATAATTTAAAAAAAAAACTTTTCGTAACTAAAATATAAAAACATAATTGATAAAGTTTAATATTTTTACAAGATATTTTATTTGTGTTTATTTATTTTAAACAATATTTATGACAAAAAATTAATATAAAATATTGAACATATTCAAATTGAACTTTATCCTTCAATTTATAAATAATTATAGGATAATTTAGTTTAATTTAATCAATTTAATCAGATCACTCCGCAAAATCATTAACAAATAAACATGAAATGAGTCAAAAATAAGTTCAATTTATTATGATATATAATAATTTTCCAAATTTTAGGTAGGAGGACTAATTGTAAGATGTGTTAAAGTAATTGATTTACTCGCCGAAAAATCCTTTATTTAATGTATAAATATTAAGCACATTTTATTTTCTATCAGCATGAGATATTTAGAAAAAAGTTTGACTTGTGTTTTTACTGCAGCTATTCGATTTAAAAATGTGGAATAAATTTTAATTATTACGAAATGATGAAGTAAAATTTCTGGAAAAAAAAACATATATTTTGATTTTCCCTTCGCATAATTAATAAAAAATTGAAACCATACACATCATCATTGAGGAAAAGCGAATGGAAATCGGCGATAATAATTTTTGATAATTGGCGGCGGCGAATAAAAGGGCGCGCGGGAAGGGCGGCGCGGCCGACAATAAGACGGATGGAGCGCGCGCTGCTGAATAAATTATGATGCATCGACAAATCGATTAGACCCCACAATGCGCGACATCAAACTATGCACCTACACACATTCACAATCGATAGCGACAACAACAGAGACTGCACACGTTGCTTGGAAAATTGTGCGCTCGCGTCGGAAGCCGCGGGGGCAATAACGCGATGTCATTGAGCGATGATTTGGAGTTATGGTGCAATTTTATCGAGCCCACGAGACCGCCGGCCCGCATGATCTAGGAGCGCGACGTGCGCGGAACGCACAAAAAGCGACGCGCATTATTCCGACCGTTCGTTCGTCCCGCCGCGAATACCGAGTAGCTGCGCCGCGTGCACCACCAGAAAAAAATATAAATAAAGCCAAAACGCCGCGCCAGACTCGCCCGCGGCACATAAATAACAAAGGTGCTGCACCTGCAAATTGATGCTGCGTCGTTTTGTGCGCTTAAGGGGTGTCATCAATCACTTTTTAAATTGCTATACACGAAAATTTAAATAAAGAACGTCAAATTTAAAACTATTCCCAGAATTTCTTTATTAAATTATTGTTTAAATATTTAAAATAGACTACAATAATACTTTTATTTTTATTTGGTGTCAAGTCCATTTCAGAACAGCAGATTTTTTTAAGTTGGGACTAATCGTAAACACAGATATTTGATTGCAAAGTTTCTTTCTTGAAAAGTGGCATCGTCCGAGCTTATCAATTGAATTATTCCACATTAATTTGGCACTTCCCAGTACTGCATTCAAAAAGGAAGTAAATTTAGTTGCAAATTTATGCCATAAGTGTATCTTTTTGAACTCTTGATAAATAAAATTGGAAGAAATTCAAATTTTATCATATTTATATATAAACATGATTTATCCCTGTATGTGCAGCCTTTGTGATAGATCAATGAACAAGATTTTGCAAATAAATTTAAAAATGTTTGCATAAAGATTTTTGCAGCAACTCTAAAATTTTGCAAAGAGCCTATTATTATTATTATTATTTTTGTTATTTTTAATCTTTAATGTCTCTAATTGTCACATAAGAATGCATAATACAAACCATAATATGGATGCTTCAAACCTTTTACGGATATGATTTTTTATTTAAATTTAAATCAATAACTAACTGAGGTT